TGGTTATTGCTTATTGGTCACAGAAATGTGATGAAACAATTTCTGTAATGAAAAGACTTAAAGGCCTCAGCAAAACATGTGGAGCAGCTCCACGATAATCCGTTATTAGAAGCTCTGGCACACAAGCGGGAGTGATGGGCTACCACAGATAAAATAAAACAGGCCGGGCTGCAGAACCATGCTAGCTCTGCTGCTTCTTCTGCTGCAACCTTGTCAGAGGATAAGCTGGCGGGGCAGTGAGAGGTTGTCCCCCCTCTCTGAAGGGCAAAAAGGGAACGGTGTTGTTGTTTAATGTGAAAGGCTGCTGTTTGTCAAATGTTGGAGGGGTGCTCATGCATAATTAACCAGTGGCACGCTTGTTTGCACGCAAACAAGCTCTGGGCACATTTGCACAAATGGCCCCCTTTACTTCAGAGAAACAGTGAATCATGGGATTATTTAGCTGATTGTAATTTTCCTGGTGGGTAAAATCTGCTTCAGTTTATTCACAACAAGGAGTTCAGGGGGGGGGACAATTTTTGTCCATTAGAACCATCCACAAGCTCATCTATTGGCTCTGCTGATACTTGCTAACATGTGATTGGCCGTTCCTGCCATCTGTGTACTTGACAGTTCTGCATTCCTGCAAGTTTTCCCTGCAGCACTAAAGTCATACCTCTGCTCTTCTGCTTTCTATTTACATAAATAACCAGATCTATTCCCGTTTCAAACTGAAAAACATGTTTATTTTGAAGACGACTGATTACAAATAAAATCTGATGTCTTAAAGATAATCAGACCCAATCAGCTGGGCAGGCTGTCTCACTGGTTTTTAATACTCTTGGCAAAACCAATTCAGGAGTCTCCACTTTATGGCCTTTTGTTTCCTTTCAAGCACCAGCAAGCCCAAGCAGGATAACAGCTTCGGTGCACTCATGTGTGTGGAGCAAACCTGTCCATACGGAGACTTTTCTCACCTCAGAAAAGCCATTTGTGTTTGCCAAAGTGAGACTCTAAAGCAAGTACAAAGGAAAAGCAGCTCACAGATTTATAGAAACTAATGGGAACACAAGAATTTGTTCGGATTAGGGCTGCACAATATATCGAAAAATTATCGTCATCGCGATAACAGGACGTGCGATAGGCCCATCGCAAAGCACGTCAAAAACGGCGATAAATGTTTGGTTCAAACATTTCCATCCGTGTCATACATCAACTTTTTGTAAACCAGCTCTGTTTTTTACGCGGAAGTATTATTTGACCAATCAAATGTAGCCCCTCTGATATGCGGCCAATCAGATGGGTCCGTTCACGTAATACACCCGCCCCCTACGTAGACCCCCAAAATTCCACTATCTCCGCTCCGCCCCCGCTTTCCGCTGCTGCTCGCTTCCCTTGTTCGTCATGCTGGCTCAGATTAACGAACGTACTTTGTGCTGAGGTTTCTGGAATCAGCGCTGCTTTCAAACATGAACATGAGTCTGCTCGGTGTCGTTAAGCAGCTGATAATAACCGAGCTGACTCTGACACGTGCCGGTGAACCAACCCACCTACCTCCATGTCGCTAGTGTTCCACCGGGTGGTGGCTCCGGTTAGCTTGGTTAGCTTCCAGCTAAAAGGCTACAGCACTCTCCTCCCAGTCACACCCTGCTAAAGAGAGCCTGGAAACGTTCCCCCACACATCAAAGTGATTTTTCATTTATGAGCTTTTATAACCTTGTTAATCAGGATAGTTGATTTCCTGCTGCACATAAACTGTCAGTCAGAAGCTCTGCTAGCCGGTAATCTTAGAGGAGTTAGTTCAATTTGTTAGCTTGTTATCAGAATCATAGTTGCAGTTTCATCATCTGAGCTGCTTTTTAAGATATGGGTAAACTTGTTCAATTTGGGGTTAAAAACAAACGTTTCACAAACGTTTTCACATATTTTCCATGTAGTTTTTTTTGCCAGTTCCCCTTCTGAAAGGTAGACAATTGTTTTTCTCTTTCCCTCAGAAAATCTTAATTTTCTCCTAGTTTGGCCCAACACAGTTCACTTCCCAATAGCAGCAACAGCCTTATATCATAACCACATAAGTGGAGAAAATGCTCAGTAGCAATGAGAGATACAACAACAACGATGCCTCAGGCGCATCCTTCACATTTCCTACCTCGACCACATCACGAATGAAGCGATCTACCACCAAACGGGAACACGCCAACTCGCTGAGGTCGTTGCAGAGCGACGGTTTCGGTTTGGGGGCCATGTGCTACGAATGGCTCAAACACGCATACCAAAAGTGGCCATGCTGTGGACCCCAGGACGCGAAAAACGGAAACAAGGACGGCCAAAAATCACATGGCGCAGAACTTTTATCGAAGACCTACGTGCCGTGAACCTGTCATGGGATGAAGCCGAGGCCGGCCGCTCGCTGGCGATTACTTTGCGCCCAATGCGCCAGTAGGCGCCGGAGGAACTAAGTCTAAGTCTAAGTAAGCAATGAGAGAATTTGCTGTTGCATTTAAGTGATGTTAACTATTAT